TTTTCTTTCTTTCTTTCTTTCTTTCTTTCTTTTTCTTTCTTTCTTTCTTTCTTTCTTTCTTTCTTGCATTCTTTCTTTCTTTCATTACAGTACTTGTCAAAAGTTTAGAAACATTGTAATTTTTGAATGTTTTTGATGAAGTCTCTTCTGCTCACCAAGGCTGCAATTATTTGATCAAAAATACAGTAAAAACAGTAACACTGTGAAATATTATTACAGTTCGAAATAACTATCTTCTGTTTGAAAAGATGTTAAAAATGTCATTTATTTCTGTGATCAAAGCTGAATTTTCAGCATCATTAGTCTCAGAAATCATTCTAATATGCTGATTTGCTGCTCAAGAAACATTTCCGATATCAATGTTGCAAAAAGTTGTGCTGCGTCAAATTTTGGTGGAAACCATGTTACATTTTTTTTTTTAGGATTTTTTATTAATAGAAAGTTCAAAAGAACAGCACTGATTTTAAATGGAAATCTTTTGTAGCATTATGAATGTCTTTACTGTCACTTTTGACCAATTGAATGCATCCTTGCTGAATAAAAGTATTAATTTCTTTAAAGGAACAATCATACAGACCCCAGACTTTTGAACAGCAGTGTCTCGTCTCTCAGGTCATTTGTTGAGCACAGCAGAGGTGGAGGCGGCTCTGACCGAACACCCGTCGGTGGCTGAAGCTGCGGTGGTCAGTCAGCCTCATGCAGTGAAGGGAGAGTGTCTGTACTGCTTCGTCACTCTGAAAGACCACAAAGAGTTCAACCGCACGCTGATGGAGGAACTAAAGAGAAAAGGTCAGAGGTCATGATCACATTAAACACGGACAGAAAATGCAATCTGCATCTATTCCGCACTTACTAACATGGGTTTTTCATTCAGTGAGGGAGAAGATCGGACCAATCGCCACCCCAGATTTCATCCAGAACGCTCCAGGGCTTCCCAAAACCCGTTCAGGTACTGGGATCTTGCATTTTCAGTTTCTCCCCACATCTCTGCTTTCACTCCTAAACTCAAGCGTTTCACCCGTCTTGCAGGTAAGATCATGCGAAGAGTTCTGCGACAAATCGCCCGCAATGAAAAAGACCTGGGTGACCTTTCGACCCTGGCTGACCCCAAGGTCGTGGAGGTGCTGTTCAGCCAAAGATGTGAGGCGGCAGCGTAAAATCAGCTATGATCTATCCCTTTTGATGCCTCTGTGTGTCACCTTGTGTGTGGTAAGGACTTTGGGTTTGGGTTAGAACAGGCTCTGGTTCTCCTAGATCACATCGAATGGGGTGTAACTCCTTTCGTGAATCAGGTAAAACAAACAACAATCACTAAATGAAGTGTTTTTAATGAAACCTCACCTCTGGACTCTAAACTTCTCACTTCAGTCAGAGTTTCATTGATTTTTTTTTTCTGTTCTGTCAGGGGATATATTATGTAAATATTTTTGGTTTGTTTGTGATGTTTTTCAGTGCCACAAAAATGTATTTATTACCTTTGCTTTTAATTGCATCCATAATTGCAGTTTCTCTCACTAAATTATTTCATATCATTTAAACAATTTTTATAGTAGACAACAGGAGAATAAAATCACTTCGTTATTTCATTTCTCAAAAGAGATCAGCAATATTAGAAATGTTCGTTTTGAACTTTGAACCTTGCAGGCTTGACTATGTTTTTTTTCTTCCAATTTTATTTGATATTAAACAATTGTTAGAGAAATGTGCAATTTTTTTCATGGCGTCTTGTCCTGGATGAATAAGCTTTTACAAAACCAGTTGTTAATGCTACTTTGACAGAAATATTAGTTCCAAGTAGTTTAACAGTAATAATTGCACTTTTCTGTTTTTTGTTTTTATGAAATAAAGCATATATCTCTTAGTTATTTGCATTTATTAAAAGTTGTTGTTTTTGCCAGTTTTGTTGAAATATGTATATACAGCTCATATTTTAAAGGGGTCATAGGATGCTACATGCACTTTTACAAGTTGTTTGAACTGAAATGTGTGTTGGCAGTGTGTGTACACAACCACCCTATAATGATAAAAATCCACCCAGTGTTTTTTTTTTAAAATCTCGTTAAATCATTTCCCCTTTCTCAAATCAAGCCGATCTCAGATGCCTGTCAGTGTGACGTCACACACAGACAGGCCTCTCCCACGATAGTTTGATTGACAATAGCGTTTCAGCACAGACTGGACTGGCGTCTTACCTTAGCTCCGCCCTGAGTGAGCTGTCATCAGTCCTCCATTGTTTCACCGCCGGAGCAGATGTAGACAAGAATGACTCATAACAAGCGATTGAGGAGTTCTGTTGTTGGATGTAATAATGAACATAGCAGTCGCCATTTACTCCCAACATCTGAGCCGCTGAAGACGCAGTGAATTAGTTTGTTTTTGAAGGGAATGCGGCCCCGATCTACATAAATGCGTCTATGTTCGCGCGAATCATTCGTGATCCAGCTTCACCTCCAGAAGTAGTGTGTATAAGGTTTTTAAATGAATCTTTGCAAATCGCCTTTCCTAACAATGTGCTAATTAGCAATTTTCACTACGAATGCAGCTAAAATAAACAGTCCCTCAGAAGAGAGGGGCGGGGCGAGCAGAGCTCATTAACATTTAAAGGAAAATGCTACAAAACGGCTTGATCTGAAAAGAGCTGTTTTTGACAGGGTAAACTGTCAAAAACTACCATTGAGAAATTTTAACCAAACTATGTTACAGACTTTTCATTAAGACCCTAAAGAATCATACCAACTTGTGGAAAATGGGCATTCGATGACCCCTTTAACAACAACAACAAAATATTTATGACTATTAACATGTTTAATGTGAGATTGCTTTGAGTCATTTTTCCCTGAAGTTTTCATTACTCATTATTTTTATTTTTTAAAGAAGGTACATTTTAGTAATGAATAATTTTATTTATGCTAAACCCCAACTCTAAACCTTAACCTAAAACAAACCTGTCGATTTGAAAGTAGATTTAAAGTAAAACATGATTTGACTGATTTATGAGCTATTCAATAGTAAAGAGCACGTCAATATCATATACCATAATAGTTTTTAAAATTTCACTTAATTTGTTAGGTCGAAACGTATGGCCCTCACAAATAAATAGCCAAACATATAGACACACTCTCACACTCTCACACACTCACTCACACACACACACACACACACACACACACACACACACACACACACTCCCCCTTGTGGCTCGTTGAGAAAAATACACCCTTGACCCCTCTCTATCTGTACATCGAGCACTTCTGTCCTGTTGTGTTCTGCTGAGATCTTAATCTTTCTGTGTTCACAAGCAATGGAAGATGTTGTTCTTTATCAAAAGATCGTTTTTTCAAGCTCTGATCGGATCATCTCCTTTTTCTTCCTGTTTAAGCTCCATCACAACAGATGCTTCCATGAAACAGTGTAATATTACAAGAGCTTAAAAAATCATACGATTTAAATAAGATCTATAAATAAGAAGTCTTTTCTTAAGAGTTTTACATCGTAACAGAATGTTAGTGTTATATCATCATTACATTGAACTGTTATGTAATGTGTTTACCAGGATTTATCACAGACATTTTCTTGATGCTCTGGTGGATTTAAATTAATTTTGCATTGTGTGTAATATTTGTTTTTACGGACGCACTTAAGGGCTGAATGAAGCAAACTGAGTTGACATAACTGTACAGATGCAAGACGAGAAAAATCTGCATCTGAATATCATGACATCTATTTGGGCTGCAGTGGTGCTGTTACCATGACAACAGTCATCTTGGCAAGACCCTTCATCTTAACAAGAGCGTGCAAAGGTTTAGCAGCCCGACAACGACTGTGCCATCTGCCGCTCACACACACACACACACACACACACACACACACACACACA